ACTGAAGCCCACCTCACTGCCCCCGGTGAGGCCGTGGAGCGGGGCGCTGCTACCCCTGTGGGGCTCTGAGGCTTTTTACAGGAATAGAAAACTGCATCTTTCTCCCTGGGAACGGCTGGTGGTTTTGAACTGCTGACCACAAGGATGGAGCCCAACAGGTAACCACAATACCACTGACTTGAGTCAATGGCAGTGAGTATGGATTTTTTTTTTTAAATGTCTACCAGGCCTCAATTGTTTTTCCCCCAGGGATACTACCTCCTCCAATACACATCAATAGATATCCCAATACCTTTTGTAAAAAATAGTTTTGAAGTCATTATGATTGCATGTCTGTAATTGGTTGAGATCCTGACGCCCAAAAAGACAAAAGCCATCACTTTATTCATTTAGTCTCTCTTCACAAGACAGAGTAGAAGAAGAAATGAGGACAGAAAGATGTGTTTTAGGGTTTGTTTTTCCCCTTACAAATATGAATGCGTGGTTAAAAATATGTCAATAATCTTTGCAAAACCAAATAGTAGCAATGCCAAGGATAAGACAGATACTACATCATCTTATTTAGCTAAGAGTTCCCAGGAAAACAATGTCTAACTGAAATTCAAGTACAGATGTAAGAGGATTACATAAAGTAATTCTACATACCATATGCTTCATTTTGGTTTATGTTATAAATTTATTGACTGGTTCTTTCTGTTAACAGATAGTTAGTGGATATCTTCTCAGTCCCAAATACTGTGCTACATCAGCACTTTTATTTTCCTAAGGACAATTAGCCTGTAAACTCCATGCATTTATAACAATTCTCTCTCTTTCTCTTTCTCTCTCTCCCCTCCCCCTCTCAGTGTCCACTTGTACAATCATTCTTGCAACCGACTGCTGGGAGCATGCTCCCTATTGGATCCAATCTTCAATGGTGAATAAAACCACCACAATAGATCACAACAGCTTTTAGAGAGCTTCAAATCGGAGACCTGTCTCAGCCAACATTGTCTTGCTGTGTTTTATGTTTCCTGAGTCGTCGGTTGGAGTCAACGCTAAGTGAAAACACCACTCCTCGTGAAGTCAGAGTTGCCAAGGCCTGCTGGGGAGTTACCTAGCCTCACAGAGCCAAGGCCTTATCTCAAAGGATAAGGTGGAGTTTGCTCTTTTCCCCTATTGCAAAATATGAGAATATTAAGTAATCTGTTTATAACATACAAACCAAATTCCTGGCAGGCGGTCTCTTTTAAGGCTAAAATATCCATAGGCTTCCCTTCAGTTTTTAAAAAAAGCTCCCTGGACTTCTCCTATCTTAACCTGGATTCACCCAACAAAGTCTGACTATCCCCCCACCCCCACCCCCCCAGTGTGTGCTTGAAGTGAAACTCAAACAGATGTCTCCTTCATGGTCCCGTGTCCTAGGTCACTTAGATAATGTCAAATTGTCACTGCAGTCGGATCTTTGGATGCACGTGAGCTAGATTTTTTTTGCCCCCACCCCCACACAAATAGGACTATCCTAAAAATCGTTCAATAATCTTAACCTCAGTAAGCACTCTATGCCACAAAGCCTAGTTTTATAAAGCCTCACCAGGTACAAGGTCATCAACGTGAGGCCATATAGGTAAGAATCTATTTATTTTAATGATTACAAATGGCACTCGATTTGCCTTTTTATGAAGGCTCTCTTTAAGCCATCAACACAAGTGCAGGAGGGAATTGCTAAGAAAGCAGGTTTCCGTCTTTAAATAGACCCCACACAGGTAAATCCATTGTTTCATCAGAAGACAGCTCCTCCTCTGACTCACTCTATCCTTAACAAGTTGAAGCTGATGATTTTCTAGCGACTCTAAATCATGGGTTAAGAACCATGCCACCTCCACGGTCCAGGTGAACAAGATGAGCTAAGGTGTGATATCAAGCCTCAGTCTCCTCCCTTGTCAGAACTACAGCACTAAACGGAACTATGAGAGAGCATCTATCTCTTCTTGTCTACAGGCTGAACTGAATCCAACCTTCCAAATTAAGAGACCTAAGAAAAATTGTTAAAAGCATAAACATTTTAAAGCCGACAGAGTCTCAGGACCTTATTCACCTTAATAGATTGTTGTCAGCATATTTTATTAATATACATTTTAAAAAAGAAACCAACTGAGTCTTCTTTTAAGTTTACTACTTCGAAGACTTAGTGCTACAATCTACTTCAACCATGTTTACCTTGGAAGCAAGGGCAACCACAATTTGCCTTACGAATTGCTATCCGTAACTGAAGCTTTCATTCTGCCACGACTGTACCAGAAACATATATCCTTCACAACAAAAGTAATAGTGTGTTTTCCTTCCAATGCACCCTAGTCTGTGTAATTGAAGGTAGGAGACAAACTTATATCCTTGAGGAAGATATTCCCACTCAAAATGTGAAACATTCTTAAAGGTCTGACCACCTAGCCGCCTGGTCCTTCTCCAACACTGGAGGCGACCGTCCGTCAAACCCCGGTTGGTTTAAACTCCTTCAGCCTCTCCCCTAGACTAGAGCCATAAGAACATTTAGGTTCCCCACCCGACGAGACAGAGCCAAGTGGGAAGACTGGAGAATGTCTTGAAAGGGTCTATGAGCGGTTCCTAATGGTGGCTTTAAGATTTCTAATGAAGAGGAGTACACGGTGTTGGAAGTTCTCCGCCAAATGATGACAGCAGAGGCAACCATCACATAGGGCTTCAGGGTTTAACAACCGACAACTAATTCCACATGCCTGGGAGGAACTGAAGTCAGCTCAGGCCCAAATTAACATGAAAAAGAAGCATATTAGCATTCTTATTCAAGTAAGGGGAAGACACAAAATCCACGTGGCAAATTTAATCACCACAAAGCCAAACGCACGTCTTAAAACCTGCAGGCCTTTCTACACCTTTGGTTTTCTTCTTGTTTCTGCCTACAGAGACCTGGCTCCAGGTGTGCATTCTATTCTCTTATATTGTCATACAGTTTGTTGTTGCTTAAAAATCAAGGGAAATACTTCAGGAAATACACTTTTTAGTCAAAGCCTTAAGAAACTCATAGCCAATATCCCATTGCAGGAGGGTGCTGTCAATTCCAACAGACCTCATAAACTCTAGAAGTGATTTACATCTCCTGTGAACTTAGCTGGGACCTTATTCTCAAGGAAAGTGTGTGTGTACACACACACACACACACACACTGCACTTACTTCGTTCCCAGAGCTTCCCAAGCTTCCTCGTGGATTGTTCTACTCTAATTGCTCTAAGAGCAATGGGTGTTTCTTACACCCATGTGCTACAGCCCTGAATACTCTGAACGCTTTTTGACACTGAGGACAGCCACCACAACAGAGATTGAACATCATAGGTTAGAATCTTGGGACAAAAGTGTGGCTTTCACCAATCTTTTCCCACAGTTGTAATATAAAAGTACAAGGAACCCATTGAACAATATGAGAGAAAATACTGTAGTTTCCTTTTTCCTCTGAAATTTAGACACCAGACATCAAATTCTTAGTAGTCAGGCTCAAGACCATAAATAAGGGAAGTTGGGGAGAGGGGAGGGGGTGCTAAGGACAATTGAGCAGCCAGACTGTTCCACCTCTTCTAGTGACACAAGAACATCCCTTGCTCGGCACCTGGTGCTCAGCTCAGTTGAAGAATCACTCCAGAAAACGCAGTGTCCACCTTGTTCCCTCAGCCCCACCGCTCTGGTGCAAGTTTGAGAAGCATTAAGAAAATACTCAACAAATGTCCTCAGGCTGGAGCCTCAAAACACGAATGACAGTGGTTCTCAACCTTCCCAATGCCGTGACCTTTAATACAGTTGCTCATGTGGTGGTGACCCCCAACCATAAAATTATTTTCGTTGCTACTTCCTAACTGTAATTTTGCTACTGTTATGAATCAGGCAACCCCTATGAAAGGGTCGTTCCACCCCCAAAGGGGTCCCAACCCACAGGGTAAGAAGCGCTGATGAATGGACTGCCTCTCAGAGGATTCTAAAGGGTAGAATTTATCACCTGACTCACCTGCAAGTTTTCTTTCACTGTACTTGAGTACTGTCTTAAACAACTCATTGTGAAATACTGAACATCTGAGCTGTCGTCCCATGATTTTACGTTAGTATTATTCAGCCACCATTAAACAACTACATCATTCCAATACATGGACAAGTTAAGCAGTGAGTTTTCTTTTTATGGTGATGAAAATTTTAGCAATGGATACTGGTGATAGTTGCAGAACATGATTGATGTATTAGGTCTCTCTGAATTTTACAGGCAAAAAAAAAAAAACCAACCCATGCTGAATTGACAAATAGTGTGTTGCATATAATTTTTCAACAAAAAAGAAAGAGACGAGGAGATGAGGGAAAGGAAGGCCTACTCGGGACACAGCAGCACCGGCTAAGCCACAGTCTAACGCTTATTTGGTTGTTCCTAGAAACTAGAGAATATTAGTAGAAGAGGTCCTAGAGCATTGTGAAGTAAAAGTGCTTGTCCATCTGCTTCTGACTGAGACTCCTTCGTGATTACTACTCTTCATATTAGCATAGACCCACTTCTCCTAAAGCAAAGCCCACAGTCTCCAATTAATCTGTTTCTCTACCCAATAAGCTTCAGGAAAGAACATGAGGAGGAACTACCAAATACACTTGATAAACTGATAAAACTACCAGTTTCCCTGGGGCAGTTGTTTGGAGGCACAATTGGGCACAATATTTATTTTCGACAGAAAGGCACAGCTAACAGACACCTGCTTCAACATTAGACCACTTTTTCTCTCTCTTTTTTTTCTTAACCAGGCACAGGACCACACTGATTCAGATTCAGATGGCCCGATAAAGTTCTTAAAATTACTTTCTGTGTCGAAGCAGATGTGGAAATAAACAAGACAACCACAGAAAGCCTTTGGATTTTAGTTCTAAAATAGAAGCTCTATGAAATGTATGAACATCAGTCTCCACAGAAATACGTGAACATATAGGAACATGCACTTTCCCAGACCCATGGGCTCACCTTCTACCTCTTCTTCATCACACACGTGCTTGAGGAAGGAAGCCCCTCTGTCCAGGACAGCTTCATCCTCCATCCTATAGTAATAAAAAAGAAAGAAAGAACGCTCAGACTTCTCCTGGAGGGTGCCACTGGACGTGGCCCAGCTTCTGGGCAGGTTGACCTGCAGGCTGCTGTTCATGTTTGCAGGATCACTCTTCCTTTGGTGTCTGCCACTGCTTCACACAGCTCCTCTCATCCGGTGCTTGAAAATATGCCGGGCACACATAGCTTCGGCTCTAACCTTGACAGGGCACCCACATGGGACATATGAGAGAAAATATCCTCAATCGTTTTCAGCAGAATGTTGGGGGAGCTCCTCTTTGGGGGTTGCAGGGAAAAAAAGGAGAGATGAAAACAAAACAAAAAATACCAAGAGAGGAAGTTTGGTGTGTCTGGAGTGTTCGTGATGATCGTTTGTGGAAATCCAGCTTCGGTGCTTAGCTCTTTAAACACCCACTGCAGAAAAACGTATACCCTCACACACACGCATGCACACCCACCCACACGCAGAGAGGCAGGGAGCTAGTCTAGTGCACAGTGGGAGCCTAGCTTCCAGCCAGCCCCTTAATACCAGCACAGCCCAGTGTTCTCTGTTGAGAGACAAGCTTTGAGTCACATGTTGGCCTTACGGAAATCTGACATCTGAGGATTACCCAGCAACGGGGCTTCAGCAATGGTCACATCTATACATGCCACCCATTCATTCATCTTCCACATTCTTATCACATGTCTTTCTCTATGTATATCTGCGCTGCTAACTCTTCCTGAAGGGCACAGAGTTCTTCATTTTGTAACCACATTATGCTGTCCTCCTGGCTCCTTACATAATAGGATCCACTCTGCAACTTCATACGCTAAACAAGCCCTATGAAGCCGTCCAAGGAGTGACGGCGTTTGCATGGCCTTGCGATGCCAACTCTGTCTCCAGTTTTATAGTATGACCGAAGGTGGCTTTCTACACGGTGGAGAGCCTGTCCATGGCATTAATTTTGACATATTGAATTCCAGGCACTCTATTTATAGTGAAAGCCGAAGGAAAATCCTGAAATACTCAAATGCTGCTTCTGCAGAAAGTAAAGAACTTTCTCCAGGGGTGGCTGCTCTCTGTGGTACCACACAGGAGTCCTGCCAGAGAGCAGCATGTTCACCCTGCATCCGTTCCCCTGGTTATGTGTTCGCACTGCGCCACTGCAGGTGGGTTTTCCACGCTGTCTGGGTGCCTTGTTTTGGGGCTCCACGCGTTTGCTACCATCTCAGTGAATGCACACTGGATTCAGACATTCCCCTTCCCCAACGTAGAGAAAAAGTCAGGTATCTGGTGTCAGACACACCTTGGCTTAAAAAACAACAACAACAAAACCCTCATTACACCACTTAGTACTCGGATCACCGGATCACCTGGAGCCAAGTACCTATTAGCTAACGTTGCAAGCCTCGGTGTTCCCATCTATAAAAAGAAAATCGGTTTCTGTCGGGTCCATTCCAACTCAGGGGGAGAAAGGAGAAAGTAACCAAGTGGAACTGCTCCAGAGTAATTTCCTGGCTGGAGCCTGCCCAGAAGATCACCGAGACTTCCTGCCGTGGTGCTGGGGGGAGAGGTGTGTTGGAAGCACCAAACCCGAGGGTCATAGTTGAGGACAAAGCATTTGCTTCATCCAGTGACAGTTCTATTTCAGTTGTGTTGCCATTGAGGCCATTTGGTCTCCTGGCAACCCCAGGGCTGCAGAGTAAAACTGTGCCCCCACAGGGATGTCAGGGCTGGGACCTCTCAGAGTTCAAGGTACCTTGAACCACCAGCCTTCCAACTCGTCATGGAGAGCTTATCCATTTGTGGCACCCAGGGACTCTTTATCTATCAAAGTAGGGACTATAATATCCATCTTGCAGGTGAAGATTGATAGCACGTGTGAAAGGACTCAGTACAGTGCAGAGCACAGATCTGTCTCATGAATGAACGTTGAGTAGAACTCCCTCCCTTCCTTCTTCCTCCCCTGCCCGACGAGTGGGGGACGAGGACACTGAGAAGCTCTTTATCTCTGGACACTAGCCGGACATCTTCTTTCAGAGATAGGGAAGTGTAGACGCTAGCTCATGCTTCTCTATTCACAAATGGAAAATACAACCCTAAACGCAAACAATATATGGGTCAGCCCTTACTGTGATCATGGAAGAGAGACTGCCCAGAAGACTCCAGTGGTCAAGGCATTTACCAGCCTCTCTGAGGCTTTGATAGTACCTACCCTCCTTCCCATGAGGATTAAATGAGCCCATGTCCACTGACTCAGCAAATGTTTATTTAGTGGCTGCTATGTTCCTGGCAGGGCATCCCTGGAGTGGAGAGGTTAGACGTTGGGCTGCGATCCCCATGTTCTACAGTTCAAAACCAACAGCAGCTCCACAGGACAAAGTCTGGGCTTTTTTAGAGAGTTACAGTCTTGGCAACCCACGGGGGCCAGGGGGATGTCTGCTATGAATTAGCATTGACTCATAGAATAGTGAGTATGTTCCTGGCCATCTTCAGAGAAAGGCGGACTATGTCCATAATTAAGATAAGATTCCTAGGAAACTAATAACAAGTAGATGAACAAGGTATCTCCAACAATAGTAAGTGCTATGTATAAAGTAAAATAGGCGGGGCTTATTTGACATAGGAATCGGCCAAATGAAGATCAAGGGACACAGCATTTCAACGGGAAGAGCAGGAGCAAAGGTCCTGAGGTGGGAACAAGGGAAGCGTGCCCACGAAACAGAAACGAGGTCAATGTGGCTGCACAGTTTACTCCAGGGTCAGGGCCCGAGGGCCATAGTAGGGAGTCCGCGTTGTACGCTCCCTGTCACAGGAATCCCTGAAGGGCTTTCGAGGAGTGCTGGTGGGACAGCAGCTAATCACTGGTCTCGCACAGCACCGCCTGGCAGCTCGGAGGGGGGGGGAACGGACGAGATGAGCAGGGCGGCTTCTTTAAAAGTGACAGCCATGGCGCCCTAAGGGGCAGCTCTGCTCTGCCCTGTCAGGTGGCTGTGAGTTGGAATCAGCTCAGAAGCAAGGGGTTTGGGAAGGAACTCTGTTTTACCTTTTTAAAAGATCTCTCTGGGCTGCGAGGTGGGAGGAAAAAAAATGAGTCCTGGAGGGGCAGGAGAAACTAGGAAGCTATCGCGAGAGCCCAGGGGCATCTTTTTGGAGAGACTCCAGAGTTTTATTTTGGACACTTTAAGGGTGAGATAGTTACACGTGAAAAGTAAGACATCAAGCACACGACTAAAGACGAGTCCGAGAATCAATGAATGGAGCTGGCCTGTGAAGCTCCTACTCCAGGAGCCCCTCCCAGCAGAGACGGCCAAGGTCAAGACTGGAGGACCAAAAACCAGCAGAACGAAAAGCAGAGCGAAAAGAGCAGGCGGTGCGGTCAAAGCAAAGCCAGGCGGGAGATCCGTGAAGGAAGCCGAGAGGAGAGCGCTGCTACCGAGAGGCGGAGAACGGTGAACCGTGAAGTGAAAACGGGATTCGGCCATAGGAAGGCCACTGGCAACTTTCCAAAAGCAATCTGAACATCCCAAACCCTGTTCTGGATACCCAGCGGGCACTCGATCATTCCTTCTTTCCCCTGACCTCCTCCATTCATTCATTCAAGTGAAGGTGCACTGGGTGCCTACTATGTGCCAAGCTCATTTCTAGGCAGTGGGGATACAGCGAGGAGTCAGGGGTCCACGTCCCTGTCAGCAGGAAGGCGACATTCGAGTGTGATCACATATACCTTCTCAAAGACCTCTCCTGGGAGCCAAAAAGTCCACTCAAGAGCCAGTACTGCAGCGCCACAGACACAGCTAAGATAATGCTCATGGGAAATTTCCTGAGAAGCCCTAGAAAGTACGAAGTGTTGGGGTCCAGCACTACTGCGGGTACCCGTCAGTACTGCCTCCTTTTGAGAAGACCAAGAATCCAACACAATTTCCTGCATCATTTCGGCACCCCACCATTAACCAACTTGATCCTACAGTTTTGGGGGAGGGAGGGTCTCATTAGCTCTGTTCTAAATAAAATATTTAGCCTTCTCCATGTGGCATGCCACGGGGAAAGGGGGAGGAAAGGAGGAAAAATCAGTAACCGCTAGAGAGGAAGGTCACCATCCCGGGGCCCTCTCCACGGGCTAGGGGAAGGAGCCAGCCTGCCGAAGCACTGTCACCGTGTTCCGTCGCAGTGAGAGAGTGAGAATGGGGATTGGTGCATTCCTTGGCTCTTTGGTACATATTTCACATTCCCTCAGAGCCTATACATAGCAAGTAATTAGAAACTCGGTTCTGAGGGACAACGCTGAGCAGCTGAAAGGACGCTTCTTCCCTGTACGAAGAGGAAAAGAATGAGTCCCCCAAACCGAAGATATGGCGCCGGCACCCCTCACTCAGTCTGGAGTCAATGCATGAAGTATAGGAATTTTATGACTTGTTTTTTCCAAGTCCCACACCACGGCTGTCCATTATTTGGGTTCCCCCCCGCCCCCACTCCTAAAATCCACGCAGCAGTTGGTTTGCTATTCTTGGTAAGGGCAGAAAATATCATTTTTTTAACCGACCCTCTCACCCAAACAGTTTTCTCCTCCATGGGCAGGAAGAAATGAACTCATCTAGTCCCTCATCCGTCCCCAAAGCCCATTCTGGAAATGCCCCTTTCACATGGCCAGAGTCTGCTGGAAACCAAGAGGGGAAGCAGCAAGCCACTAACAGCTCCCGGGTTGCTCCCACCACCAGCAGGAGGCAAAGTTCAGAATGGATTTAGAAGCTTCTCTCTCACCAGCATCACAGGGCGAAGGGTCACAGCAGGCAGGCTAAAACACCCTAGGGGCCAATACCGACTTCCTCTGGTGGGAGAAGTTTTACCCCTGCTACAAAACGTCCACACCCAAAGGGAGGTTTGTTGTGGGTTCCCCCCCCCCATACAGTCTGTTATTCTGGGACAAGAGAATGATTTCACTGTGACACATGTCCAACCTGCTGCCGAGCGGGCCGACTTCCACCAGCCGGTCTTAATCACTGAGCAGGC